TGTACTTTTTTCCCTCTCTCCTGTTCTTCGGAGGAAGAGGGCTAGCGTCCCGGAAGGGGCTGCCCCTCTTCCTGGACCTCTCCCCTTTCTTTGCGCACCCCCAGCCCCGGCGCGGGTCCCGCGCTCACTGGGGCGCCAGCCACATTGTTCCGAGCCTTGGGCTGTGTCCACGCCCCTCGGGCCCCCACCTCCCACCTCCCTTCGTCCGGGACCTGCCTTCCCTTCCCTCCCTGGCTCCGGGCCAGAGTTTGGGGGATTCCCTTTGCAACTTTGCGTTTTATTGGGATTTGTTTTCCTCCTGGGTACGGAGGACGACGGAGGCCCCTTGTGGCCTGTTTTAATTGGGGGCTTGAGGTGACAGTTTTTCTGCGTGTTAGAAGTTGTGGTGCGCACTTCAAGCCAACCCCCTCCCCTGGTTCTTGGGCTTGGGCCGCAGGACTGCCACCCTGCTTTGGTGCCCTTGCCCCAGCGGGCCTGGGGAGCCATCAAAAGGCCCCTTCTGGTGGGGTCTCAGTCTGATGTGTGACGGTGCCTTGCTCTTTGATTTTCCAGACATAACAGCTGGGAGCCGGAGGAGAACATTCTGGACCCGAGGCTGCTCCTGGCCTTCCAGAAGAAGTGAGAAAGTTAACAGCACCTGTGGGAGGGGAGCGTTGTGGGGAAGGTGGCCCCCCAGGGTCCTTGTTCTAGGGTTGTAGGCTGAAGTCCTATAACAAGACTGTTGCCAGGCCTGGGTATGAGGTGCCAGTGTCCACTAGGTGGCTGGCTGAAAAGGCAGAGGAGCTCCTAATTGCTCCGTGGTACTGTGCTCATTCTCAAGCCACACTTGTGAAAATGAACCTTCTGGAGTCTTGCGGTCAAGGACTCTGGTTTCTCCTGAACATTTCTGGGGAGCACTTTGCAGACTGTGGTGACTCCAGCCTCCTGCCCCGGTGTGTTTGCCTTTGAGCTAGAGAAGGCTCAGAGAGGGAGCTGGAGCCCACAGCACAGAGTTGTGCCTATTTTGTGCGGAGCAACACATTTATTTTTATCTAGGCTGTAAAACATCACTGAGGTAGCACCTCAGGTGCTGTTACCAGATTCGGACTGGATTTGCTTCTGGGGGTGTGGTTTCTGCTTCTAGGTGGTGGGGGGTCAGCTGCTGTGAGGAAGGGAGATGGGTGGTGAAGGGGTGATGGATGTATCTCCCCACACGGATGTGAGGAGCCAGGGGCAGCATGAACGCCTTCCCTGTGTGGAGTCTTCCTTGTCATTAGAGGCAGATGAATTGGTTGCTCAAAGGCCTTCCCAGCTGGGGTCAATCTGACAGGCTTGTTCTCTGGTAGCCTAGGCTGTCTTCGCTTTTTCTCCCGGTAGTGGGCATTTTGATCTTCACAGAGGTGCTGGGACAGTGGGGGAGACACTTGTGGAAAATCAGTTGTCCGTGATCTCATTTCCCCTTCATTTAACTCATAGCTGGGTCCTGTGAACCATCAGGGAGGCCAGCTGTGCGCACTGCCGCAGATGGTACCTTTCTCTGCATTTAAGATAATGTCCTGAGGCATGGTATCATGGCTTGTGCCGACTCCCACCTGTCTGGGAGGATCACTTGAACCCAGGCGCTCGCAACCAGTCTGTGCAACGTGGCGCAACCCTGTCTTACAAAACAGACAGGCTTCTAGGGCTGGGGGTACAGCTCAGGAGTAGAGCACTTGCCTAGCGTGCCCAAGGCCCTGGGTTCCATCCTCAGCCCTGGAAAAAAAAAGTTACTGCATTGTAGCTGACATGTCTTTGACCTCACTTTCTTAGTTAGAGCAGACAAGACCAAAATACCCAAGAGATAGAAAAGTTTGAAAACCATGCGATGGTCTGGATTACTACCTTGTGGAAGAAAACGTCAGGGAAGGAGATGTTCTGCCTCCTCCCACCCACCAGATAGACTTGGCTCTGTGGCAGGTCTTTGCCTGGGGAAGAGGGTACAGGGGAGGGAAAGCCACAGGCTCCCAGCCCTTGGAGCATAGTGGAGCCCACCCGAGACTCACCTCATCCTCGTGTGGGAGGCTGCTGTGGCATGCAGGCTGTCCCTGGGAATACTTAGTAGGCTCAAGAGCTTGCCTTCCAAGACCAAAGAGATGATGTTTGTCTTTGGTGATTACTGCAGATCTACAGATCAGGGCCCTCCTTTCTGGGGTGTCCTGAAATCCACGCTTGCTCTGAGGGTGGGAGGCAGGGCTCTTGGCAGCACCTCCTGACCCCGGAACCCCCTTCAGAACTGGTGCCTCATTATTTCCATTGAGAATAGAGTTCAGGAGCTGGGAGGCATTCAGAGAAAATGGGGAGCCTCGGCGAGGTGGTGGACGCCTGTGATCCCAGCACTCAGGAGGCTGAGGCACGAGGGTCGCTGTGAGTTCGAGACCAGCCTGGGCTACATAGTGAGTTCCAGGTCACTCTCAACTACCTAGTGAGACCCTGTTTCAAAAAACAAAAAAAAAAAGAGAGAGAGATTGGGGAAGTTGGGAGGTGCTGGTTGGCAGGACTGGAGACCTGGGAGGGTGAGGGCTTCTTGGGCTTGGGCTTTTTTTTTTTTTTTTTTTTTT